AATCTGGGGCTATGAGGATAACCCTCGCCCCGTCTGATTTCACCTTCTGGAGGACCCTGCCTATTAGGGAAAAGGGCGGGAAGGCGTACAACAGGGCCCCCGACCATGGGAGCAAGAACCCATCCAGTATTTCCACGTCACCCACTCTGCTCTGGAGCAGAACCGAGGACACTGCCGATTCTGGGTGGTGGTGAACAAGTCTACATGGGGAGTACCCCACTATAGGAAGATCCCCCTGGCTACCTCCCTGTGCAGGGACCACTCGTGCTGCTGGGAGAACACCCTGCTCAGGGAGTCCGCGAGCGTGTTGCTCTTGCCGGGCAGGTAGAAGGCCCACACAAGTATGTTGTGCGCTATACAGAACTCCCACAGGAGCTGGGCTTCCTGGCATAAGGTCCGGGAGTGCGTGCCCCCCTGCTTGTTGATGTAATACATGACAGTCGTGTTGTCCGTGAGGACTCTAACTACCTTCTTGTGCACGTGCTGGAAAAAGGCCCTGCACGCTAGGCGTACGGCCCTGAGCTCCCTGACATTTATGTGGAGGGTCAGCTCCTCGGAAGACCACATACCCTGGATCCTGAAAATCCCCACGTGGGCTCCCCAGCCCAGGTCCGAGGCATCTGACACCAGATCTAGAGAGGGGGGCGGCTCTCGGAAGGGAATACCCTGGAGCATGTTGCTCGGGTGGGTCCACCATTGAAGGTCTGCCACCACCCTGGGTGGCACCGTGACAACCTTGTCCAGACCGTCCCTGGCCTGGGAGTACCGGGAGGCCAGCTAAAGCTGGAGGGGCCTCATTCGGAGCCTGGCATGTCGCACCACATAGGTGCATGCTGCTATGTGGCCTAGGATTTGCAGGCACACCCGTGCCGTGGTTACCAGAAAGGCTGTGACCCCTGCGATCAGTGCTGTGAGCGTCTCGAATCTGTCCCGTGGGAGGGAGGCCGTGGCCCCCTGGCAATCTAGCAGCACCCCTATAAAGGTTATGCGCTGAACCGGGATCAACGTGGATTTCTCCTCGTTTACCAGAAGACCTAGTGCCCCGCAGGTGCCTAGCAGGAAGCTCGTCTGCTGCTGCACCAGAGACCGAGACCGGCCCTTGAGCAGTCAGTCGTCTAGGTAGGGGAAGATCTGCAGTCCACTAAGGCTAGAAGAGCTGCAGCTAAGCTGGAGCAAGTTCCGACTACCTTCACTGGCGGCAAGAAGGAACTGAGGGTGGGGGGAGCACGCAGCCCCCTTTATGGTGCGATATGTCGGTGCCACTCCAGGGGTCGCAGCGGTGCTCTCCCACTACGGGTACTGCTAAGGGAAAAACTTCCGGCACCGGTGCACGTGGCGAGCACACACACCTATAGTGGAATACACATGAGCAATCACTCGAAGAAGAACCTCTTTTACAGAGAAACTTCATGCCTCCATCCTTGCAGTGGAAGGTAGTTTATCTATGGGTAACTTTCAGGAAAATGCACTTCAAAGGTTGACTGGACTATAAAAGTCAGGGGCAAAAACTCCTCTCTTTCATCCAAGAAGACAAAGGAACCAGGCTTTGGACTTTGTGAGAGATTCTGACTTGAAAATTTGATCAGAAATGATGATGGGAGCCTGTGGTAAGGATTTTACCTTGAACCAAGTCTAGTTTCTTAAGTCTTAGCTACTAGGAAGTGTTCTATCTTTATTTCTCTTGTAACCAGTTCTCACTTTAATACCTTATACTTGTATTCACTTAATCTCTCTCGTTGTTGATAAATAAACTTGGTTTATTCTTTAATCAAAACTAATCCAGTGTTGTGTTTAAACTGAATTGTTTGGTAATGCCAATTAAAGTAGCAAGCAGTCATACATTGACCCATTTATAGGGGCAATGGACCTCTAATATCTGAACTGTCCAGGAGAGGACTGGACAGTGGAGAATACATGTTTTTAGGGAAAATCCTGGGTTGGGAATTTGGTGGGGCCACCCAGGAAGTAGTAACCACGGTTGCTGGAAACCAGACTGTGGCTGGTGTGTTGCTGACATGCTGCTGGGGTCAGAGTGGCTGGACCAGGACTGCAGCTATACACAGACACTCAGGGTGTGACCTGCATCCTGTTCGGCTGTTTGTGAGAGGCCCAGGTTGGGAGCCATAATAGCAAGGCATTGTGAGGCACCCAAGTTGCAGACAAGGTGGTGAAACAACCCTGACTGATTGGGATTGCACCCCACAATGTGATATCTACATAGGGGACGGTGCTTAAATTTGTTTCTGTCACTGCTTTTTACAGCTGAATGATTTAACCTTGGCCCTTTAACTTTGCACAAACCGGTTAAATACCAATGTTTTATCAGCCCTAAAGATTGAGTGAATTTAATATTGATTCCATAGGCCAAGCTCTGCACTCAGAGCGAACACTTGTGGACCCACTGACCTGCCCAAGAGCTGGGGACAAAGGGAGGTAGAGAATAGCATATTCAGCACCCATCTTTAAAGTTTCATCCAGCTGGGAACTGCATGAAAGAGCGATGAATGTCTTCAGAAGTCTCTCGGTGCAATGATGGTGTGTGGAAGTGAAAGCACTGATCTGGGGGACACTGGAAATGAAGCCAGCTGGATGGAGACAGGCTGAGTAATGCATGATAAACTGAAGTGGCCAGACAATTCTAAGGGCTCATTTAATCACAAAAGGCACATAAACACTCTGTTTGATTATAGAAGCAACAATAAAACAGGATAAAGTGCAGCTAAAAGCTATAGCTGCAGTGAGTCAAAAAAAAAAAGGTCATATTTTAAACTATATTATTGATGGAGCACAGAGATGAGTTTTAGAAATGTGGGCTCAAAAACCCTAAACAAAGGGAATAAATGGCATTGTTACAGATATTGGCTCATACTGTACATTCTACTCCTGGGCAAAATGGTATGGAAGGGAATGAACTAATATAAAAACTTTGGTGCTTTGCTGTGTTCATTGAGGAAGTGCTTTCTTTCCCATGAGGTGTGGCACTGGCAGGTGTACAAAGGCGGAAGTGCTGCAAATATAAGCAGAGAGCAAGAGGCCACAGAACAATAATGCCCCAAGCTTATGGATCTCAGTCAGCAGCACCCCCCCCCTTTTTTATATCATCATCAGTCTCCCGGTACACCAGCAATTGGCAGCACAATACATTGGCTGGCCATTTCATGGGTATAGTCTGTGATCTTTCCAAGGGGGTTCACAGAGCAAGGAGCGGAAGTAAATATTGCTTCAACCAACATTAACTGTCAGCAACCTCAGCCATGTAAGGTATGTAGACTCTTCCTGGCAAACCTGTTCTCCAACCTTGCTCCCCACGGACACTCTGGAAATTAGTGAAAAGAATGTGATAGAATAACGATTGCCTCTATCTTCGTGCCTCAAAAAGTATTGATGTTTTAACCATCCCCTTCTTATCAGGAGAGAGGGAGCAGTGACACCACCATGGAGGAGAAGAGATTAGAATGTGATTGAAACCTAGTCTCAGGAGGAAGATCTATTTTCTTGTAATGTCTCTTTTCCATCTCTCTTCCATATGTTGAATGTCTCCCCTATTTTCGTTTATTCTCCGTATGGTGGTCTCCCTGCCACCTCCCATGTTACTTCCCTGCCGTATGTGCTGTAGCAGCAGCAGTGGCAGAGTGTTCATGAAACTGACTGACAGTCCAATCTAGGAAGAGCCTGAATATTGCACTTTAGAGAGCAGGAAATCCATCAGTTTCACTGACACTAACGGGAAACACAACAGGAACACTATCAATCCACCCTCCTTCATTTAAGTGAAGGACAGCAAGTTTCAAGAGCGCTTCATATTAAGATTACTTTTAAGGTCTGAAATGAGGTCGTGCCACCCATTACCATACAGTGGTTCTAATATAGTATACTGCAATGTTCCCCCTTGTTTAGTGCCTCACATAGCACTGCAAGGTAATTGTTGGCTAAAGTTGAGCTTCACAATAGCCTATTTTTGAAGACAGATGCAGTATTAGTTTTAGTTAAAAGGGTATGTTATCTCCTCCTCATTATAACATAATTCTGCAATTAATGTATCATTATATCATAGATCAGTAAATATAGTAATACTTTTCACCTCTATAACTTAAACATTTTAAAGTGAAGTCTGACCATCCTTGTCAGGTAGGTATTATTAGCCCATTCTGCAGATGGGAGACTGAGGCACGAGAGATTAATGCTCCAGTTTTCAGAGCTTCTGCGTACACTCAGCCCCCACTGACATCAACAAGAGCTGCTGGTGCTCAGCATGCATGAAATCAGGCCACAGGTGACTTGTTGAAGGAGGACTGTGGCAGTTTCAGGAACAGCATGTAGATCTGACTCTCAGCCCTGTGCTTTCATGACATGATCATTCTTCTCTGTGTAAGGCTACATAACTCATTAACTTGTTCAGATGGACTGGGTTCTTCAGTGGGCTGGCAACAGGCTGTAGCAACTTTCATTTCTAGGCAATTGGTTCAAATTCACCATAGGTCCAGAATGAAGGAAAAGTAATTGATAAATTCTGTGAAATTAATTGATGGTCTCAGTTCAGCTCTTGTTGGCAATCTCAGAAGAGAGGCCAAGGACTGCATTGACAGGAAGACTATGAATGCAGTAATATTCTATTTATCTATCTCTATATCTTCTAAGTTGGGGTCGGCAACCTTTCAGAGGTGGTGTGCCGAGTCTTCATTTATTCACTCTAATTTACGGTTTTGTGTGCCAGTAATACATTTGAACGTTTTTAGAAGGTCACTTTCTATAAGTTTATAATATATAACAAAACGATTGTTGTATGTAAAGTAAATAAGGTTTTTAAAATGTTTAAGAAGCTTAATTTAAAATTAAATTAAAATGCAGAGCCCCCCGGACCAGTGGCCAGGACCCGGGCAGTGTGAGTGCCACTGAAAATCAGCTTGCGTGCCGCCTTTGGCACATGCGCCATAGGTTGACTATCCCTATTCTAAGCAATCAATCCTAATGACTCTCATCATTCCACAATGTTTAAAATAGTTTTAAAAGCAATATACGGAACAGAAAAGAAAGTGCAGGTAGCAACTGGTGATTAAAACAGAGTCCTTGAGGTACAATATGCAATAGGATAGGTTGTCAATGAACTACTAGAGAGAGCAGTTAATATTCCAACAGGATATAATGAGATGCCCAAAGTAAAAAGGTCACATTCATTAACAAAGCCCATCAGCAAACTCTGCTGCTGCTGAAAACGGGAGTAGTAAATACACATAATCCTCTCATCATTTAAATGACAGATTACTGAATGGCTATAGCTGATAGCTAATTAGTGTTTCTCTGTGAACAGTCTCCTTACATTAATACCTTTGTATTACCTCAGTGATCTCTTTATTAACCAGTTGTGGTGCTGGAAATAAACAGCATACAAACAGAATATAGTGTAAAAAGAAACAGCAAAAAACCTCAGTGGTTAACTTTCCAGTGACGGCTCCAAATTCTCTGGTGAAGGGAAATCCCTTTGAAAATAATAGGGCCATTCTCTTGTACCCCACTGTCATTGTTTCAGGATAAGTTATATCTCTGAGCTCTCTCTCAGTCTCTTCATGGGTAGCCTTCCAAGTGCCAGACCCAGTGCCAACACTTCTCAGAGTGGAATCCTGTGATTTGTCCCACTTATAGATTGGGTTTCCAGGTTACAAAACCCCTGTTTACCAACTGTGTTTCCCCAGCAGATCCAACTATATTTGGCCCCTGCTACAGGCTTCCATTCAGGAACCTGTGACTAGATGAAAAGGCAGTGATCTTGATCATTTTTTTCAAAACAAAACATTATGTATTCATGCATAGGACTAAATCGATCAGACAGGCAAGGGTTAGAACAACAAAAGGTCTACACACATGGCATCTTATCTAAGCATAGCATTTCCATAGCAAGCCTTAGTTAGGTCCAATTTAGCCCTTACACCCACTCTCCTGGGGACTGGATTACAATTTTTTTTTGCAGACCTGCCTCTGCCTTCAGTTTCAGGGCCAGTGTTTTTAATAATTTCCAAATTCTTTCTTCAAACTTTCTCTCTGCAGGGCTCTGGTCCTGCCATAAGCTAGGGGTGGTTGTGCTCCCCTTGAATAGTGACAAAAGAGCAACATCTTTTGACACCCATATTGTTTGTCAAGTATTAAGGATTTACAACCATTGTCTGCCTTTCTGCAGATGTGTAAAACCACCCAAGTCTGAGTTAACTCTTTACTATCATGCTGTCTAATACGTGGTGCAATCAAATAGAAGAGGTACACAGCATATCAATAAAAACATTTCAGATATCTCCCATCTTCTTCACACTTTCTACTACATATTTGTATATTTCGCTGTTAGTGAATGACTTTCGGCTTGGGTCACTCCTTGGGTTCCAGCAACTTCTGAATACAAGACACAGGCTGTGAGCACCTAAATTAGGATACAGAGGTGCAAGCAACCTGAACCTGCCCTGTTCTGCCAAGGGGCTGGAAGTGCAGGTGTAACCCACAAGTGTGCAAAGCTGGCCAGAGATGGGATGAGTCCAGAACATCTAGAAAATGCTTGATTGAGTGCATTCCTTGGACAGCTTTCATCTCTCACGGTGTCCTAGCTAGAGTCTAAAGTTGCCCCCCTTACGTGAAAATAATTTGCAGCATTGATTTAGTTCTGCCATAGAAGTGAGGTACCTGTGGTCCTACAGGATATATCTGTACAACTATGTAGTCCCTAGCACACAGTATCAACTCAGTGGCTAGCTTTGATGTCAGTGGTGGTCCTTGGTGAGGCATTTTAAGTTCATGCTAGGATACTAACTTCCCTTCATTCCATTACATATGTTCACTAATAAAGGGAAAGTGCCCCTCAGTGCTATATTGTGTCTGAGAGGCTGGTTAATGAAGTACTACTGCTGCTTTGAAATCCCCTTACTGAAAGGTGCACTTTGCAATAAGGGGACCAGAGCCACTGCTGCATAGGAATCCCTCATCTCGTAGCGCTAAGCTTGTCTCTCTCACCAACAGAAGTTGCTCCTATAAAAGATATTTCCTCACCACCCTTGTCTCTCTCATACATAAAATTATCAGTTGTGAATTATACACAGAACTGGGCAAAGGTACATTGATTTTCTTATTTTTCTCAGGGTAGCAGTATCCCAGCTTTCCCAGTGATAGAAAGCCTTCACTGTTTGTCACTAATTTCTGGTGAATACCCTTTCCCATGTCTCAAGGCCTCTGGATACTGCTTTGCGGGATGTACAGTTCACAAGCCTACTACAAAAATGCAAACCCTTTCAGGCAACCTAGAGAAATCTCCAAAGATTCTAGAAATGAACAAAAATATATTAGTTGTCCAATCTAGGTAGCTCACACCTGCCATTGCAAAAACCAAACACAATCCTCTTTTGGGGACACTGTTCACCTAATGCTGATCTTGCACCATTCTTACCCTTGTATTCTCCATTCATTTCAATGGAGTCACTACTGATTTACACAGATGTGAGCAAGATCAGAAATAAACCTCATATCTGGATTATGATGGTTTTTAGTTATATGCAGCACAGGTTTTCATTCAATACCTTTGTGACAGTATATGTATAGTACGATAGTATATATCTGTTCAGTATATCAGACTACATATTCCCCCAAAGCCTCTAATTTTGCTGGTGCAATTAGTTGTACCTACAACTGCACCCACTTTTTAATTGCACACACAAGCCAGTTGTGTTTCTGACTCAGTGCAAATCTGCCGCTGTACTACTGAGGGCACTCTGAAATCTGACTAAAAATCAGGGCCATAACGTACAATACATAACACTACATACTATAGCACTATGTGCATTTCTGCTTATTGCAGTAATGATGCCAGGATTACGGCTGAGATGTCACTTCTATTCCATGGTTAGGAGCATGCATCACCGATATGAAGCACTTTATTAGGAATTGTTTTATATAAAAATAAATAATTTATATATGCTCTTACCTCCATTAATTATCTTTAGGCATCTGTTCCTTTTCTGGTGGGTTTCGAGTTGGATGCTAAAAAGATGTATACAATTTACAAACAGCCATGAATGTGACATGAGCAGTTAGGACCATATAGAATGTTGAAAAATCTAGTAAGGTCACAAAGTCCATATTTAGAGTGAGTGATTGTTTTTACAGAATGTGATATGTTAATTTTTAAAATTCTCCTTTAAATTCTACAATATCCTTTCTATATTTCTGGCAGCCACTTAAGTAATGTTTTTCTTCCAAGGTGTTAAATATGGAAAATGCTATGGGGAAAACTGTGAAACTTCTATAAAAATTGGTCATTTTTGTTGGAGAATGAGCTGGGGTGGGTCTGACCCTTGCCTCTGTCTATACAAGAGTCCCCTCCTCTTTGTTTGGGGATGTGCAGCTGCAAGGATGGAGTGGCGTCTGAGGGAGATTGAGAGTTGGGGAGTATTGTAAAGACACCGGGCCTCTTTAAGAACATCCCAGCCATGGTCTTTAACATCTTGGGTCTTGGTCATTCCATGGAGCTTAAGTGATGCCTCCTCCCATTCCTGCCTATGGGATAATTCCAAGGAAACACTATGAGTTTGTGAGCTCTTCCACTGAGTGGCATTCACTTTGAATTATTTCTCTCCTAATAACAGGGAAAAGCAAAGGATTTGAAATCCAATAACTGGCTCCATATTTCATGAACACTTTGAATTGGTGGATGTGTTCAAAATAAAGGTGTGTATTTTATGGTTTAGGCCCATCTCTACTTCTTATCTGTCTTATGGATTTTTGTATATGCATTCCCTTCCCTATCAGAATGGAGTCCACTGATTATCAAGTGAGTGAGTTTACTTGAGATAACTGCCAGCAGGGGGAATAGAAACAAGATGCTGGTGAGAGATGAAGAGCTGGGGAAATGCATCCAGGTAATCAAGATAGTGCTCATAATCAATAAGCTAACAGGTTGTGAAAGAAGCTCAATGCTATTCTGAAGGCTTTTTGGATGAAGCTATGGAAGCAATTTGGTCTTTGGCAGACAGTTGGGCAAACTTAATTAAACCATATATGCTTTATTGCCATGGGCTTCCACAGGTTCAGATTGTGAAATCTGAAAAAGTATATACTCTAGGATTGCTTTACTCCAGTAGGTGACCTGGTCATGTGCAGTACATTGGGGAGTTGAGCTGTATTGGAGCAGTTATAACAATAAGAGGACAGAATGTTTAATATAGCAGCACATGGTGAAATAAAGATAGTCCTTGGAGATTAAGCTTTTCTCACAGAGAAATGAATAAATTAACATGCACTTTCATCTTTCATATTTAAAAAGTCAGCAGTGTCTGAAGTCATAATTATGTGCTGGCTATTGAATGGCCTATGTAAAATGACTTCCATCCAGTTCCCAGTGAACAAGCACCCACAGGACAAAACAACCATCAAAATTGCCACAGCATGTCACTCACATTGGTGGTCTCAAAGATGCCAAGGCTGGAATGGGCATTAAGACTGAGTTACCATCTCACCCCGGTTGTGGCTCCAGCAGAATAAGTTAGAGGAATATTAATGGGGCAGAACTGTGACCAAAGGACTACAATTTCCAGGTGTATAAGTCTGACATGTTTCCGGAGACCTATGTTCATTCAAAATGCAACTATGCACACTGATGACACATATGTCCCCCCCTCCCCCGAATACCTGGCCTTTTGGTCTTTTCAAATACAATTTATGTTAACTTCAGATGTTTTGGAGCCTCTATCTGGCCCTGTTGTTGCTTTCCATTTTGCAGACAGAGGCTCTGCACCTCTGATCAGGTAATCTCCTACATCACTGGCGGCAGGGCTTTCAGCGTCAGCACATGGGGCAGCACTGTTGGTCTGGGCACAATAGACTACTGTTGTTTAAAACATAGGTGCATTACTGAGTGATAGAATGGTACTACATGCCCATCCAGTCCTTGGCACTAAGACTGGCAATGAGGTTGCTAATTACGGCAATTCCAATTTTGATGGCAAGTTTTATGATGTGGAAACTTGTCCACCCAGAACTGGCCTGAGAAGAGTTCATTCTACAAAAATTACCAAAGAGCCATCAGAAGACAACAATTTACAGGCAGTTCAAATCATCATGAATCACAACTATTTTCTTTAATCACCTCTGATCACTTTGAATCATCTCTCATATTTATTTTTAGAAAATGATTGTGGATGATTTTTAAATTATGGGAAATGTCACACAAAACTCAAGGCAGTTTGTATGTAATAATGAGTAAAGTGCCAAAAGTGCCTTTGGCCAGATTCTTAAAGGTACTTAGGCTCCTTGGCACTCCTGAAAATCCCACTAAGCCATTATGCACCTAATTCCATTGATTTCAATGATAGTTAGGTGTCTATGTGTTTTGAAAATCTAAGGCACCTTTTTGTATCTTTAGGCACCTAAATACCATTAAAAATCTGGCATTTAGGAGACTAAGTCTCATTGACTCTCAATGGGACTTTTAGACTCCTAAATCACTTTTGAAAATTGCTCTTCAGCTCCTAAGTCATTTAGGCATTTTTGAAAACTTTACCATAGAAGGTTTTCTTTGGTGATTCATTTTTGTCTCCAGTTCTATAAGAATGCAACAAAAATGCGATCATATCCATACCTTAATGGACGTCATTTTAATTGTGATCAGAGAATCAGCTTTATTAAAACCAAAGTGTTTTCTATGTTCATATTCGGTGCTTGAGCAAATAGCATGTGCATTCATAGGCCACACACTTACTCCTTGTTTAGTAGTAGTAATTGTTAAAATCAGATTAATCCCACTTGCCTTTCCAGAAAAAAAATCAAGATAAACTCTCCTGCTGCCCACAAAAGGCATATTTTTTATGATTAAATCATATATTAATAGCCACATAAAGCATTACTTGGGGACCCAAAGATAGGAAGAACTGAAATAATGTAGTAGAAGACTGAACCTGACCCTGCTTCAACTGCAGTTTATAGCACAGTTTCCACTGACTTTAGTTGGAGGAAGATCAGCAGCAATATCAAGAAATTCAAAATCACATTTCGTAACTATGAAAAGCAAAATTCAGTTATCCCCCTGCTCATTTACAAAAATAACTAAACTTCTTCCTGAATAAGTTTATGGAATAATAAGTGTGCATGCTAAATCTAATCTTCAGACGTGGCTACTGAATAGGACATCCAAATTTGAGAGTCTAAAAGTGGGATATGGAGATATGGTTAAGGAGTCTATGTTTGAAAACAGGTATCTCCATATTTCAATTGCAAATGAATCCAAACAAACAAATGTGGGAGCTATGAAAATATCTATACGTACCAGTTTGTTAAAGGGTGTGGTGTACAGCAGGTCTCTATAATGAAGGTTTTCCCCACAAACTAAAGAAAGAGAAAATATGCTACTGTCATTTTTGTTTCAAGCATCTGTTGGGTGGACAGAGATGTAACCTTCTAATGTCCCAGCCTTACACTCATCATTTTGACAATTAACTCAGTGGGAGTTGTGTAAGAACTCAAGGATTAGGTCCTCAATAGTTAAAATCTGTTTCAAAAGGATCTGGGATCCCTTCAGGTTCTTCCCCGTTTCTCTTCCTTTTACGTCTCTGCCTTGTCATTCCCACCCAAGAAGGGTTGATGAAGTTCTGTCTTATACCCATTTTGAATGCCAGCTAGAGAGACTCACTTCCGAGCAATATAAGACACTGTAGCAGGATTCATAGATGTTAAGACTGGAAGGGAACATTCTGATTATCTAGTCTGACCTGTCTAATGCACACAATAGAATTTCACCCAGAATGGCAGGGCTCTCTTGTTGACCTTGAAGGTCAGGTGGGAGGTGTGGTTCATTAAGAGAGAGAGAGTGGCTCTCAGGAGAGAGGAAACTAGAGAGAACTAGGAGAACAGGAGGTCGTGGAGGGAAACACTAGGAGACAACCAAGCTCAGAGAGAAAGCTTAGTTTGAGGTCTATATCAAGTAACTGTTTGTGAACTACCAATAAAATCAAACCCTAGGAAGGGTGTGATTCTGAATACTAACTCAGGGTCTGTGTGCTCTGTTATGAAAGCTGATAGGGATTCAACCATTTCACAGGCGCAAGTACTCTAAGCTCCTGGCAACGTGGGGACTTTCACACTGAATCCTCTAGGTTACTACTATATCATTCAGCTAACCAAAATGCATTATTTCAATCTAAGGAATCAGCTATATAACCTGGAATTTCTGTGCAGTAGTTTTTGCCAGAGGGGCAATCTGAAAAGTACCTATGCTAAGGTGAACTTTTAAAGCTAGTATCACTTACCATTTGGATGATGTTCAATGGTGATTTTGTCTGTCAGGAGGAAAAAAGATTGTTAGAATTTGTTTTACTATCTTTCTGGCATTAGAGCAAGTGTGTGTGTGTGTGTGTGTGTGTATTTTCCCTTTGGATTGGATAAATATATAGGTGTGTAAATATAGATAGCTATAGTATCGCTTGTACACTCACACCCCCCCATAGCTATATGTGAAGGACAGGTTTTTTTTTTTAAGCAGTTTACTATTCTGTACTAATTGTCAAAATTAAACCGCAGGACAAATTGAACTATTTTTCATGGGATTTCACATACACTCCATTTAACAATCAATTAGCATTAATATTTAGGAACAGATTTTAGTTACCTGAGTGACTACCTGTTTAAAGGTATCTATTTTATATTTACTTTAAAAATGCTCCTTGGTACTCCAAAGAGTACTCAACGAATACTGAGTTTTATCAAAATTACTACAACACATTAACCATCAAATCCACGTAAGTGCACTGTTTTCCAATGTAATCATGAAAACAGTAGTGTGGGTGATTTCCTGATTAGGGGAGCAGAGAGAAAAATAATTTGCAAACATTTTGTGATTTAGAAATAGAATTTTGTATTGACTGTGTTCACATCCTATTTTTAACAAATGTTCTGTGAATGGAGTTTTTTTTGTATAAATATTTGCGGGAAAATTTCAGGTTCATACTCAAGATTTGTCTAACTGTGAAACAAACTTTTAGTTTCAAGACAGAATGAAATTTGTTTGGGGAAGAAATGCAAGTAGTTTATAAAGTGCAGGGCATCCCAACAGGAAGAAAACAATATAGTATAACTTTAAATAATGGAAAAAAAAACAGCTCACATAATGAATAATGAATACCAATTATGTGAAAAAGCTCTTGCAGTGAGCAGTTCCTGAGCAATTCACAGACACTAAATATGAATCATTTTGAACAGCGAACAAGTTAGTAAAAACCAATGTGAGTCACAAACAAGAGAAAAAAAAGACTAAATTCACCACATAAACTGTTATTAGGAAATCGATCGCCCATTTCTAGTCCCAACACTTTATTAAGAAACACAGTGCACTACAGGAAAGCTGAGCAGTAGACATGGAGGGTGAAATCCTGGCCCCAACTGAAGTCAATGGCAAAACTCCCATTGACTTCAGAAGGGTCAGGATTTTACCCTAAAAGTTGATCAAGTCTTTATTACATTTAAAATAATACCTGTGAGTTAAACCAATATACACAAAGTGCTCACTAGGGCCTGATCTAAAGGCCAACCTGGGATTTGGATTGGTACCAGAGATATGGCATATTTATCCCACAATTCATGTCTTCATTGTATTGAAATGCTACTTAGCTATAATTTACCATACAAAATTTCTTCTTCTGGTCTTTTCCCAATAATGCTATCTCTGAGCTGGCGTACTTTTTCCTTAAAAAAGAAACACACAGACAACAATAAAAATCAATAACCAGGGTTGATTGTAAAAAAATAATGAATGAATAGCTGGAAAAGGTTGGCTTTTTAGTATGCTGAACATTTAGCTTCTCACCACAGGAAAATCATTTAAAAAGGCTAGGAAGAATGCCATGCTGCTCTATAGATGCAGCCTTTTAGTTTCAGCATTTATCCCCAAGCCATCAGCAAGTTATGGCGTATCCAGGGCTAGACAGTTACACTGATATCCACATAGATTTAGACAGTCTGCATCGGTCTCTGTAGCCATAATAAGGGGTAGTCATTTTCTAGCCAATTGAGAAATAAGGGGCTAATAGAAAGAAACTTTAGGATCTGATCCTACCATCCTTATTCATGATAAGTAGCAACTTACTATGCAAGTAATCCAACTGATTGTCTGCAAAGACATATTGAGACTTAAATATTTATTTTCTGTTTAAAACAAATGTTTAGTGTGAACAAACTTCAGCCCATGTATTACTTGTGAACTGCAAATTGAAACAGGCATTTTAATGGGGCTGTTCGCAGAATAAAATACTATTCAGCATGAATACTGATATGGTAATAGAATCATGGTCTAAGGGATCTGGAAGATATCCTATTCTTCACTTCACTTCTTTGTACTTCTGATAATTGCTAGTGGGGCTACTGCCAGCATAAAGATTTCTTTGTTGCAATACAAAAGTGGTTCCATTTTAGAAGTGGGTGGGAATACAATGATCCCTATATGTATATACCAGACTGTAGCACGTAATTCTGCATGCAAGCTCTTTGAGACCTGTTTAAAACACTATGTAATGTATATACAATGTCTTATATATCTGAAATGGTAAAACTTCCATTAACTGGCTCTATTCGTTTTGGGAGTTGGTTCCCCTCCTGCGTATAATTGAGAAGGGTTCAGCTTATTCGGTGAGAGAAGGCTTATGGAGAAGAATTCAAAGATAATCATTTTTCATATGTATACACAGCTTTCATAGATGGTCAAAACAATAAGAACAAGATTTAAAAAAATAAAGCAAAACATCAACAAACTGGTGCAAAAGCTATGTTCTAAATCCATAGTTAGGTACCAAAATACTCAACCTAAATTAAATGTTGAGAACCCACTTGGTCTCACTGAAATCAGCTGCCGGGTGCACAATACTTTTGAAAATCAGGACCCCTGGGTATGTCTATACCACAGCTGGGTGGCCAGATTCCCGGTGTGGACAGACTTGTGTTAGCTCTGCTTGAGCTAGAATGCTGAAAATAGCAGTGTGGATGTAGCAGCATAGGCGGAGGCGGAGGCTAGCTGCCTGAGTCTATGCTTGCTGAACTCTTGGGTTTGAACTTGTGTGGCTAGCCCAAGTTGCATCTGCACTGCAATGTCCATGCTGCCATTGTTAGTGCGCTAGCTCAAGCAGAGCTCGTGCAAGTCTGTCTGCCAGTGCTGGGAATCACAGCTACAGTATAGATGTATGCTTATTTGGATGCCTAAGTATGGATTTAGGACTCCAAATTTAGGTACCTATTTTTGAAATTCTTGGACAAGGTGCCCTACAAGCAAACATAATCCTTCAGAAGTATACCTGCTGTGGAACTTCTAATCTGCTTTTTTCATTCTGCCATTGTTTAAATTTCTCAAGTGCTTCATCCACAGTAATTGTTCCCTTCTTCACCTGTTCCTGCAAAAGGATCAGTTCTTCCTGTCCAGAAGGGATGCTGTGTCTCAAAGTGGTATAGGTGGAAGTGTCAGTTGGAACTTTGTCTGTAGTTATCAAGTGTAAAGAGTTTAAAAAAAGGCACAGACAGTTAATTCATTTCGAAAACTGTTTTTCTTTTCAATGAAAGCTCATTTTGAGCAAGAGCATGTGAGCAGCAAATCTGTAACGAGATGGCAATTAATCTTTACCATCATAACCATGTTTACAGCCAAACTCTATAGAGAAAAATGCAATGAGCTATTTGCTAGTGTTCTTTTGAAGTAGTGTGTCCTGGTGAACAAAACCTTCAAACTCATTGTCATTTGCCTGATTGGTTCACTCTTCATCAAATTTAGGGCAGGTCTTCACTACGGGGAGGGAGGGGGCGATTTAAGATACGCAAATTCAGCTACGCGAATAGCGTAGCTGAATTCGACGTATCGCAGCCGACTTACCCCGCTGTAGGGACGGCGGCAAAATCGACCTCTGCAGCTTCCTGTCGATGGTGCTTACTCCCACCTCCGCTGGTGGAGTAAGAGCGTCGATTCGGGGATCGATTGTCGCGTCCCGACAGGATGTGATAAATCGATCCCCGAGAGGTCGATTTCTACCCGCCGATTCAGGCGGGTAGTGTAGACTTAGCCTAAGTTTATGTAGCAGCTCCTCTTTTGAGATAGGGCCGTACCATTAATTAATTATGAAATTCCACAGAATTCAAAAGGAAGTCCTGACATAAGAGCTGCCATATTGGGGCAGACGATGGTCCATTTTGCCCTGTATCCTGTCTCCAATCGTGGCCTGTACAAGAGCTTCAGGGGGAGTGTACAGAATGAGGCAATTATGGAGTGATCCATCCCTGTATTCCATTCCTGGCTTCTGGCAGTCAGAGGTTTAGGGTCACCCTGAGCATGGGGTTGCATCCCTGACCATCGTGGCTAAGAGCCATTTATATCATGCCAAGTTATTGGCTTTATAAACCATAACATTACTTGGGGATAGGAGTGGAAGATCCCAAATTCCCATTAATAAGCATTTCCCTCACTCCCCAAACTCCCATCAATATCCATTTTCCTCTCCCCCCAAATTCACATAGCATATTTCCCAATAGCTTGTGCTGAGAGTGCTGTTTTGAATTTTCATATAATTCACTCAACCATAATGATCAGAAAATATGCAGGGTCAAAAAGAAATCTTATAATTTATATGTAGCTTCATAGGACTAGATTCTAACTAATCCCTATACAGGTGTGCAATTGAAGAGAAGTAATATGGAGTTCTATGCTGCCACCCTCACAGTTTAGCCCATATGTTCTTAGTATTCTCAGCTATTGGAATGGCTGCTTGGGGGCAAAGGCAGCTGGGAGTAGGTTAAAGCAGCCCAGAGGCTGCTCTGATTTTTTGAGGGATTCTGAAATAGCTCTGTCAGCCCAGAATCAAGGAACTAAAAAAGGTGGCATAATACCACTGCTGGTCCCCTCTCCTTGGCTCCTACACAGAATGCAGCTAGACTGAATCTCAGAATTGGAGCCATAGTATTTGTCTTTACCTACATGTAAGCTCTTAATTGATTATGTCTGATTCCTTACTGTGCCATGCATGACATCCCTTTGTTCTACATGAGGGATGACCAGCTGTGCAAAGGGAAATATACCTTGATGAGGAGAAAAAAGTCATTATTGAGCCCCATTCTGCTCTTTTCCAAGAATATTAAGTACCAGCATACGTTGGCCATGAATCTCCACCACTTTGCATCTCTGATAATCATTTACATTTGTACTAAGAGAGTGCAAATTACTATACCAGATGCCAGGCAGTGGAAAAATCAAACCTAAAATGTTTTACGGGAATAACCTTTGTAGGGATACACTAGCAATACTCCATTACTAAATGTTGCAGTTATTGAATCATTACCCAGAAACATCCTATATTTCAACACTTACTTTTTAATGAATTTAGTGCAAAAAGAGACACTGACAGCACTGGCAAGTGGCGTTCTCTGTTTATTCACTGAACAGACAACTGCAATGCAGCTTCCCTACTCTGCTTCAACTAATATGCCCTAAACCTGACCTAGAGGGGCTATTTCCTGGAAGGATAATTCAGTCTCTACTCCATGTGCATTCGTTTAACAATAACAATACTAGTTATGCTAGGATACCAATTAATGCCAGTTGCAGTGGTTATTTAGTGATATGGACTCTTCTCAAATAGCAATTGGGCTGGGACCGGCAACTCATTTTACATGGGGCAAAAAGCAGCCATGAGATAAGCTTTGGTCACCTGCTATTGACTCAGGCAGGTTAGAACTGATGCACAGCGTATGTATGAGCCACCCAGTTCCTCCTTTTCTAGTTTTAATCATTATAGCGAAAGCTGATAGAAAAGTGCGCAGTCATTTTTGCTTTTTCATATGTATCCAAAAAGCTTTTATAAAGCCCCTCACTGATTTGCTTTGTTAAAATAATAACTTTTTATTTATTTGAATTGATTTTTATAAGCTGAAATACTATTGGGGATTTAAGCCATCCTGGTAGGAAAAAAAAGATATTAAATAATCCAAGAAAAAATCAAGCCAGAGCAAAACTCTCATAGTCCCAATTAAGGAACATCAAGACAGTTAAAATAGCAAAATGAGGTTCCACACCTTGTTTCCTGAAAGCATAGTACATCTTCTCGTTATCACTCTGAGTTCTGGTGCCCTTTTGCTGAAACACTGCAACAAAATTAAAAATGTTAGGAAGCTGGTCACAATTACACAATAAGGAGATAGCTCAATGCTTATCAGAACTTCAGTGTCCTGCAAGGTAATTTTGGACCATTGAAAATAAGATGGAAGAGAAAAAACTCTCTCTCTCAATGTATACCAGTAGCATTTCTGGAATTTGCTCATGTGAAAGAAGAATGCACAAAAAGTAATGCTGTGGAAAGGAAACTGGATGCCAAAGTGATATAGAGTTGTTGGAAGACTCAATGACAAAGCAGAATCAACTTCAAGTAGTTGAAGTCCAAAGAATGAACTCTTTTGCAAGCACAAGAAGGTGCAGGAACAAATTCAGATATTTATGAAAGAGAAGACTAAAAAGGTGCTAAAATGTGCAGAGACTCAGTGCAAGTGAAGAGCAAAACACACAGGGGAAAAAAAAACTTCTATTGGAGAATGTCTGGATGTGCTTTGCCAGTAACAGAGAGAAAAGACAGTACCAGGAAGAAACATGTATTCCGCCTTCCATTCAGGGTCATTCAGAGAGACGAGAAAAGAAAAGCTAGTTCTTAATGGTGGAAAAAGTTTCACAAAATCACAAAAGGAACAGAAAGCCTGTTTATAATGAAATGATTCCAGATCATAGCAGTATGTTAAAAGCTTTTGAAAAGCAGGCCCCCTGAACACAAATGGGCAAGGAATCTTTTAATTGTGACCAGAGTAAGGAGAGGATGACCAATGAAGAATGTCCATAGATGTGTAGTAACACTGCTTATTATGACCAAAAAAACAAACAAACCCCACAACCACCTATGGATTCCTTCGTTAGGGCTGGAAGGAAGATAGCCTTTGTAAAGCATGGAAAAGGGGTTATTTGTCCTCTTTAAGACCGCTGTAGTATTGCAACCTGAGAACCTTAGCACCACTACTAGTTAATCTGCCCCAAGAACTATTAAGAGTGCACAAGCTGTTAGCTACTACAGCTCTCCTAATAACAGTTTTAAAACTGTACCTCTGTGTGTGTTTGGATTTAGCTTGCACTGGACAACACAGCTACTGACTACAAAAATACCCAGACCTTTCCTATGAAACTCTGTGGAGAAGAAATTTTTTTTGTACATGTCTAATCATGATTTTTCTTTTAGCCCTTTTGTGTAGTTATATCTTTTTATTACTAATTTGTAAAGTTGTTTTGTTGCATAGAGAGACATGATTTTAGCCAGCCACAGATTGCCCACATATTATGGTGAAGGGTATTTTAGAAAACAACAAAACAAAACAACAATAATTAATAATAAATAGACACATTATCACATTAGTGACATACAATTTGTATTACAATGTTTACAAATAATTGCTAAACATCATGGGCCTGCTTTTGAGCTCAGTTAAACTGGTGCACATATTGCGTTCTATTGATGCAAATTGAATTACTCCAATGAAGTCAATGGAGTTAACATTGTTTGATCAGAATTTGGACCCAAGAGTGAAAGGTATAGTGCAGCATTTAAAACTTGTCTGAACCCATGGAATTCCAGAATTTTAATTCCATCTCTGGCACACATTCTGTTTATTGCACTGGACAGGTTGTTTAACGTTTCTGCCTTAGCTTTGCAACCTGTAAAATAGGGCGTAATTGTTGGCTGCCTCACATGGGGAACTGAAATGATTAATTAAACCATTTTTTAAAAGTATTTTGGAAATAGAAAACATTTATGTTAGTGCTATGTACTATTACTTATAACAGTAAACAGAAGAAAACAATCTAAATGAACGTGAATTAATAGCAATTGCTAATGTTTGTTTGTCCTTTCCTAATTACCAGCAATTACAATTTAGTTGGTTTCTTAATCAGAAACAAAATTAAGATGCAGTAAATGAATACTGCAATTTACATATGATATCTGCACAATACACAGTGCCGAATAACGTATGTAATACAACTATATGAAAAAGAATGTGTAGTCACATAGAATTCTAAGGATAAAGCATTTGAGTCCCCATCCTACAAACATTTAACATGTGAGTAATTTTATTCATGTGAACAGACACATTGAGTTCAGTGGGACTATTTAAGTGCATATAGTGCATTAAATTGTGGGCCTGTAGGCTTAGAATTGAGGGCACTCAGCATCTTTTCATGCTCAAATCCTATGAAGCAAAGCTTTTAAGCACATGCTTATCTTTAAGCATGAGTACCCCTACTGAAGTCAATATATTTCTGTATTTCCAAGGCCTCTATTTATTTCATCTTATCTTTTTCATATTCTAGAAATTGATAGCCAGACCTGTAAGAATCTAATCTCCCCCCCGTTTTATATCATCCAGGAGCTTTTCCATTATGAGACTATCCCATACTCTTCTAAGACTAAGATTATTGTCAGAAGGCTCCTTTCTCGTCCAAAACACTGCCAAAACGCAGATCTGATGCTATCAAAAGGTGTGAGCAATTTTTTATTATGGAGTGGCTAGATCTTTTTATTTGTAAGCCCCCGAAGTTTTACTAATAGATCCACTGGTAATTTCTCTTTTGTTCTGTCCATGAAGTTTAAGATAATTGACTAATATTCCTGTGCTTAGGAATTTTTCTACCAAATATAGCTAAAGGCATGAGTTGTCTGACTCATCTCTGCAGATTTCCTTTAAAGGAGAGGTTGTCAGGTACCACTTTAATAGCACTTATGATTATTTTCTTTTATAGTTACACATATGAAAGAGGAGCTGCTGTATGGCAAATAAGAGACCACAGCTCTAGGAGCCAGATCCAAAGACCAATAAAGACAAAGAAAAGATTACCATTGGCATCAGGGGGCTTTGAATCAAGACCACAGGGAATTTTCGTATCTATAACTTTTCCCACTTATTAATATAATTATGTTTGTCTTCAATGGCAAGTGTTGATATAATTAATATTTGAAATTATTAATATTAATATCAGAGACCACCTGACTAATTTAACCGTAAATTCCTTTATTAAGGCCAAAGGCCAAATGGTATTTTATGCAATTGCTATAGGCATGCCTAACAGCTTAAAAATAAGCAGTCACCACACCCAATACAGTAACAAATTATTCATAAGCATGCAATCAGTATACTTACAAATAGGCCAGAGCTAGGGAAAACCATCTCATCCTGGTGAACTCCAGCATGATCAGGTAGGATCTGACAAAGAACCTTGAGATTCATGGCTCTCTTTGTACCTGCAGTTAACTTGCTGACTTTAGCAAAAACCCAATTTCCTTCCTCTAAGGCCTTCCTTTCTTATCTCCTCACCCCTTCTTGCTCACCAACAGAACAGTGGGAAGGGTTGTGTTTGTTTCTTTTAAGACAGTTTTTCTTTGTCTTGTTACTGCAGCTCTTTATTTTATTAGTTACTTTTTAAACCATACATCCTTCCCACATGACAAGCAATAGCCAGGTTATACGTCTTATTATTCTCACAACCTTCTTTTACTTACTGATTGGGACCTTTTCTTTATTAGCCATGAATAATAAAGCAAATATATTATTTTTTAACCAAAAAACCTAACTTTAATTCTTTTATTTTCTTAATTATCCCTACAGCAAGTTTAATAAAAATTCATTATATAGTTTTAAAATTATGCCCTTGGAGGCTATAATTTTTTTAATCTCAGTGAGTGATCTCTTAAAGACTACCTCTGTCAAGAATTTGAAATAAAATGTTTTAATTGTGTACAGTTAGATACTAATATATCTGTATTGAAAACTCTTTATAATGTCTCTGTGTCCATTATTTTCTCCCCTCTAATTACTTCCCCTCCTCTTTACAGGTTGACTGTTTTACAGGTTAATTTTTTCTCGTTTGTTAAACATGGGATGAGTATCTCCTGGGGGGAATTGCTGTTAGAGAAGAATCCTTATCTAGTCCCAGAATTTTAAAACAGATGGGGACCCTTTTCAGCAAGTTTCAGGTATTTTAATAAGAACATTATATATCGTAAAAGGTTACTGAAATCTTCCTGCTTCATCTTAGAGTCATAGAGTCATAGGATTAGAAGGGACCACAAGGGTCATCTAGACTAATCCCCTGCCAAGATGCAGGATTTGTTGTGTCTAAACCATCCAAGACAGATGGCTAACCAGTCTCCTTTTGAAAACCCCAGTGAAGGAACTTTTACAACCTTCATCTGGTGTTCAAGACTGTCTCCATCTTACAATCTTATCAAAGCCCATTACATTACATACCACCAACACTATATCATTTTCTTTAATTAACCCTGATGATCTTATTACACTAAATATATTGTAAAATAGAAAACTGCAATATTCTAATATCTTTATGGAGATTTCTATTGGACGGATTTGAAAGAAGACCCAAAATGGTCATTTTTGCCATTAAATATTTTAAAAATCTTTTCAGTAAAGGCTCATAATTTGCTTCATGTAATTTTTCCAGAAGGAGGTAATATTAGATGTTAATACAAATATATTTGCCCAATGGATTTTAAAGATTTTTTGTAAAGATTTTTGGGTAACCTAGTTTAACTCTCTTTGCTATATATCATCTTGATTGATCTTTCTTTTGTTACTATTTTTTCAGGTATCTTATACCAAAGATGATTAAAGCATGGCTTTCCCTAGCATTAACCTTTAATATGTTTGTTTTGTGAACTTTATTGGATAATATTTTAATCTATTTAAGTTAACTTGCTCTTGAGTATGTTTGATCATTACATTCATGAGTTACATTCTGACTTGCTCACTATTAATGCAATTATTGCAGTTCCTTGCTGCTGCTGTCAGATTTGCCCTGTGAGGAGCAAAATGGCAATTCCTCGTTTGTGAATGAGACTAAGGATAAAGTGTGTGGAAGGACCAGAGGAGAGGGAGTTATCTTTGTCCAATAAAAGTGAAAAATTATGTCCTTGCATTAAGCGCACCATTTCCATAGATGAAAACAGAATCTGTGCACGTGCATTTTGGGACAGAATTTGTCCCCAAACTTTTACACATGCTACTGTGGGGTTATTTTTATGTTACCAAACATATGG